ATGCTGTGAAGAAGTGCCTGCTATCTATTTCACAAGTTAAGTGATATCAGACTATTAATGGTAAAGTTAAGAGATACAACTTCCCCCAACATTACTCAAGTTGGAAGGTAAACTTCAATGATCCAATATGAATAAATTCAGTCAGTACTAACTCTTTAAAGTTTGCTAAGACTAGTCAGATCATAAACTACGAGATATACAAGTTTATTTAAAAAAGTCTTTTAGATAGAGTTCTCGTTCTTACCTGCTCTGTATCTAAGATTTACCCGGCTGCCGGACTATTGGCGAATAGACTGCGCGTTTAAATGGTGACGAAGAACTGAGCTGAACTTTACTGACTGTTAGCTGTCCACAATTTTTTTTTTGGGAGTTTCCAGACAAAAATATTCTTGGAATTTTGTTTTTATTCCCCGTTGGCCATTGTGTTTTCGCTGACTCACTAATGATAAAGATAACATTTATTCAGAAAGGAAGAAACAAACAATTAATTTAAGAGACTCTTAACATGTAAGCACACTGAGTCGAAAAAAAGCGGAAGACTTAACAGGTCCAGATCATCATATCCTTATTTTTCATTCCCCCTGATGGCTTCTTTGATATCTATCGCCAGTTATATTAATGAATGTTGATTTCAATTCCCAAGTGAGATAGCAGTAAACGATCCTCGATACACTTTAATGATTGTACCTCAAGTGAATTACTAATCATAATTTCTCTGTCGACAACTTTTGAGTTTCCAGTGAATTCCGCGTTCTGTGTCTTACAGTGAAACACTTGTTTGCTTGTTTTGGGGAAAAAAATGATATTATACGAAAGATAAAAACTTGATCATATAGACAGGGACGTGATTGAATCAATGCAAAGGAATTGAATAGTCAATGACCTCGATTAATCAAGTCATTCTTTAGTCTTAAAATTACTACAACTAACTTGACTATCGACCAACCGTGGAAATAACATCCGCTCCTAAAACAAATCTATTACTTTTCAGCTGTTCCTGTTTCGGTCTCTATCCTAGTAGTAAAAAGATGCTGTTAGGAATTCAGTTTTATTATGAGGAAATTTCATGTATAAAGGGTATTGGGATACAGTCAAAACCCGCGACTAAGAACCTTGTTTCTTGAGAACCTCTTAGGCTAAAATTTGCCAGTTAGGCCCCTTCTATACAAGAACCTGTTAAGCCTGAAATTTGAAATAAGTTCTTATTTTCTAAAATCTATAAAAAGAAATACAGCGGTAAGATTAAGCAAATAAGATAAGTCAGCATTCAGGATCCTCTTTGAAGAATTATCGGTCCAACTGCAATGTAAAGCTGAATGTAATAGTATGCAGATTTTATTAGCGAATCCGAGCTGACTACCTATGCAGATTTTATTAGAGAATAATCTGAATACCACTAAATACTCTTAGCTATATTACAATCTATTTTTTCTTTAGAAAATAAGAACCTATTTAAGAACCTAAATAGCCTAAATTTGTGCTAATTATACCATTTCTGTAAGAACTTGTTTAGGCTAACTTGGAAAAATGCAGGTTCTTAGTTGGGAGTTTTTACTGCATTGCAACAAAACGTTCCTAAAATATACGATCATCAGGACGACCACCCGTGCAGAACAACTACAGTAACTTCACTAGACTACCAACTTGAAATCGAATTAAAACTTGTGCAGTACTGTTTTCTTCTGCATTCAGGTCTTCATCAAGCAAAAGCTAGAAAATTGTCCCACATTTAGCTTTACAATTAGTAGCAAGCGTGAGACCGGTTTATGAAGTCAAATTTAATTTAAGAGAACAGCTGGCTTTTCAACGACGCTTTACACCCGGGGAAGGGTGATTAGGGGCTTCCTACAATCGCTTATACCCGCACAGGTTCTGCCCGAAAAGGGGTGCCCGGATTTTTGAGGCTTTCATTAAGGTTTATCAAAGACAGGGACATTCACTGTTGAGGTAAATAAAAGGGTCCAAAAAACATTTTTTGAAAGTATTAAAATATATTTGCTATATCATTTTTATTTATTAAACGTCACTCTAATAAAATGACATAAACACTTCCTGTTTTAGCGATTCATTCTTATTAGGTAGGCCGTGTAAAGGCCGGGTAGTATTTTCAATGGAAGGTATACGAAAGAGGTACCTTTTCAGTGAAAATGGTATATAAAACTATGTAAATCTTCTAGTGAGTAGCCCCTTTTCCCCAGTTTTTTAACACCATCAAACATGTACTGTTGACATTTGACGCCTCCGTAAAACTCAATTTTGCTGCTTATTTAATTACACTCCATTTTGGGGGGAAACAAGGGGTCCAGACCGCTCCCGCCTCCTCCATCTTGCATTCCTGTCTCCGGTCCCTTTTTTCTTGGCTTCCTCCTTTTAGCATTGTTGCATCAAAGACTGTTGACAATAAAACGTCTATTTTTTTATGGAACACGAATTTGCCGCCTTTGTGTTTAATCTCCAGGCCCCAGTCGTTCCAAAGGTGGATAACGCTATCCACTGGACAAATTTCTATCAAACGGATAGTGCATGCAATTCAGTGGTGTCCTTAATACTTGATATCCGTCGGATAACGATTTAACTGGTGACGTGGATAACCAACTGGGGCCAGTTTCTCAGAGTTAAACTGAGTTGTCTTCACCAGAAAGCGCGGGAATTTTGGGGGCTACCGCAGTTACGAAATATTTTAGCCAGAAGCTAGAAAATAATGATATAATATTTTTTGGTTTTATAGCGGTTGATATAAACAGACACGGGCGACACCCTTTTATGGGTCAAAGGATTTCTATGATTTAGGTCACAATCAAAATAACGCGGTTTCGGAATATTGCTTGCTTACCATTCCTTAAAGATTTTAACACAGTTAACCACAGGTTAATAAAATTCCCCGGAGGCGTTAAAACATGAAAGACTTTTGATGCTTTCCGACAGCGTTTTATAATTCGTGTTGAAAAGTTGATCACGCAAATAAAAATCTGGAGATGCTTTAACAGAAACAGGCAAACGATGCACCCCAGAAACAGGGCACCCAGGCTATTTTAAGGATTATTAGCATGGCTGAATCCGCGAGCCGGCAATATGACGCGAAACCTGTGTACTGATTGGCTACTCGACTGAGCCTGAAAGATGTGCCCATCTTGCCTTTCGACATTTTCCGCCTCGGTCCAGCAAGAAAATGATATCTTTTTGGCCATGAAATAAATCCCTTATTGTCCCAGCTTGTTCGGGTAAGATGGCTAGATATTGGCCTCCTTGTTCTTTTTTGCGTTGTTATTATCGTCTTTTTTGATCCGTGAATGCGAAACAAGAACTTGATCAATATCCAGCCTTCTTGATCTCACGCTTGGTCAGTAACACATATCAAGAGCCTGTACATGTGTATTAAAGGACTTCAAAGAAGCCCAAGCTCCCTGCGGCGTAACAACACAAAACCAGCTCTAAGAGTTAGTTAATATATCCAAGATTAAACGCACATTGTATTAAAATACTTGTTATGGAGAGCTAATGTAAATAACAAGCTTCTGGAGTTTTCCAGTCACGCGATGTTTGTACTAGAACTTTCTATTGTCACGTAGTAGAACTGTCTAGAACATTCTGCCGGATGATGTAACTCACGATGTAATGTTACAAAAATAGTAGTCTTGTAAGCTCTTAGAACTATCTAGAACATGAAATGACTGTATATAAGGGCTTAGTGAGCTTTGAGTTAGTTGTTGTTGTTACGGCTGAGATTGATAGGAGAAGTTATGCTGGGAGAGCTATAGCAGTTTGTTGAGGAGTACTTTGAAGTCATTCCAAGTGGCTCCAGGACGTTTGGTGATAGCAGTGGCTACTGTGAGTTTGTGTCAGTGGCGACTGAAGGTTAATAATAGGCTCTAAGTAGTTTGTTGTAAGGTTGTCGCTCCCGAGTTGTAGTTATCACTTGAAGTATAGTTAATTAAATTAGTTGATTTTAAGGAGAGTTTTTTTGTATTTTTCTGTCGGTTGAATTATACCGTAACATACTTCATACTTGACTGGGTTCTTTCTCATTTTTACACTACTTCATATTTGATCGAATTACATGTATTTTGATGATGTTCTGTTCATTAGGACACTTTGTGATGGCTATCATAAGGATAGTGCATCACATTAGGGTTCGATCCTGGATATACTGCAACAAGCCGCTTATAAAGCTCCCCATCCCCTACCCCCACCAGCTAGACCCATCAACCCGTAAACAAAAAAATACATCCGATTATAATCCCCACCCCCCAAATGTATTGAAATGAATTCGATTTATTATGATCTTTTGACGCTTAGTTAAAAACCAGTAAATGCAAAATTATTTTGACTAGCACTTCTGTGGATTGCTTCGAAGCGTTTTCTATTCCTGTGGTAAGCTCCCTCGGATATAAGCCCCTCCGTTTATAAACCCTCCAAAACCCCTTACAAAGATGTATCAGCGGCAGTTTACGATAAGTAGACACCAAAAGGGAAAATTGATGAGAGTATGAAAGACAATAAATATGTCGTTAAAGGATAAGTCATGAATAATTGCCTGTTCTTCTCTCTTTAGACGGGAGTTTGAATTAAAGTTTCAGAAAAGTTGGAAAACCTTTGAACGGATGTAAGTCCATTTCTTATTTGTCTCAAGACATAACTTCCTTTTTCACGTTTTAGTGTCGTTCTCGACTATTCCTACAGAGAAACGTACACAATATTGTACATTGAAAATTGAAGTGCTGTTTAAGTTCACGATCTCACCGATATTTGATCAGTTTAGACGCAATTAAGTCAGTCACTTGAACTGTCCTGATCTTTCTCGGTCACGACAATGTTTCTTTCCGATTGCCTCGCGTCTCTTTTATGATGGTGTCGATGATGATGATGACGATGATGATGACGACGATGGTGATGACGTGACTTCCGGTTCCGGTCACTCTCCTGAGAGCTGCTTCTGCGTCTATCAAAACTCCTACTGCGCTGTCGACGACCAGTTTTACGTTCTGAGATACCCTGATGTTTAAACCTTCCTTCACCCTGAAGGAAAGCTCGTTTGTCCTCTTGTTCACTGCTTTCGCTTTCTTCGTTTGAAGAAATCTGTTCATCGTTATTTTTACCGCGAGATTGTGGACGTTCTCGGTTATTTTCACGTTCTTTGCTTAATGGAATGGGTGCATAACTTTGCGTCTCCAAAGTTCCATGACCTTCTTCAAACTCATAATCACGAGCTAAGCTTCTCCATGTCTGCTCCTCACCGTTCGAGTATGAACTTGGTTTCCGTATGTCCCTGGTGTCTTCTTTACGCGCAAGATGGCTCTGTTTTTCCAATCTGTACAAAATGTCTCGACTTTCTTGTTCAAATTCCTCACTGTCGCTGTTACTGCTAGTTTTTTCTCCTCTCCTGTGTCTGCCAGTTTCATTGATTGAAGCAAACTTTGACCTTGCATAGCCTTCATTTGCAAAGGTCTTTCCCTCTTCTTCCCGTCGCCTTTCTGGAAAGCGCTCTTCAGTTGTAGGTGAACATTCGTTAGCTTTTTCATCATTTGAGTTCCTTTCACCTCGTGTTTCAACTATTCCAAATTTATCACTGCTTTTATCATCTCTTACTGAGTAGCTCTGTTTCATTATTCTTTCCGCTGATTCACGGTCTTTCATTTGCTGTTTGCTATCTGTTCTCTGAAGTAACTGTGATTGTGGGGACTTCGAACGGCTTCGTGGAGACCCCGAGTGTCTCCGTGGAGAGGGCGAGCATCTCTGTGGGGAATTTGAGTGTTTTAGTGGGGACGTCGACCGTCGTCGAGAAGACATCGGGGGTCTTTGAGGTGACAGCGAGCGTCTCTGTGAGGAATTTAATTGTTTTCGTGGAGACTTCGAGCGTCTTCGAGAAGACATCGGGGGTCTTCGAGGAGAATTCGAGCGTCGACGGGGAGATCTAGAGCGTTCTCGAGAAGACCTCGACTGTCTAAATGGTGATCGTGCACGACGCATAGGACGCCTGCGTGGAGACCTGGACCGAGCCACCAAAGGTGGAGAAAAACGGCGCGAAATGTTCCGCATTTCATCCGGAGAAGAAGGCGGGGGTGTGCGATAACGCTGAAAAATAAAAATCACGTGATTAAGTTGTGTTTCAAACCGATGGAGTAGCCTTGGGCCAGGTTCTTTGCTTAGGGGGGCGGAAGGGGGAAGGGGGGTACACTGTAAGTGGGTTTTCAGGTATGTGTTTTGCCTTGTTTTGTTTCTAAATGATTCATTAGTTGGTGATTTCCTATTCTACTAGTGTATTGTTTTTCTCGTAAGAAAGTTTAAACTAATACCCTGGGAATTTCCTCACCATATTTCCTCGTCCTCGTAGAATCCTTCCCGACCTGGAAACCTGCGGATAAGAAAAACAGACAGAGATAAATGATAGAGGGTAAAAAGTTTTAGAACTGTGTTAAAAGAAAGAAAAATAGTTACCCACAGAATCCGAGGTTCATTTTAAGAACCAAGAGACTCGGATGTAATTGTTTTATTACTAACTGTGGATATTTTCTGTTGAAGATATAGACCTTATTCACAACAACCACCATCTTTGCACGCGTTCAAGGGTTGATGGGATAAATGCAAAGTCACGTGATTTATCAGTCCTGAAGTGCATGCAAAGATGGTGGATACAATGAAATAAGGTCTACTGATCTCCCAAACAATATCATTTAAGCAGGTGTACATACCCTGGTCCTTTGCTGTGAATTACTTTGAGGCAGAGCTTTATACCCTGGAGGAGACTTACTTTTCCTGTGGTCATACAAACAGAAAATAATATAAACAACTTGAAGATACTACTGCCATCTATCTCTCAACATCTGAACAACTTTTTCTGAACCATTTGCCATCAGAATCAATTGAGCAGTGCTATCACGTGGTACTGTGTAGTTTTAATTTTTGAGTCTGTGGATGAAATCCTATGATGTGACCATTCAAATGAAACCTCTTCCGTCAGTAGTACTTTCACATGGTACCATTTTCCTTAGTGTGTAATCAGACACGTTGGATGAAATGCAGTTCTTAGTTTTTGAGTCCGTGGATGAAATCTAGTTGTCTTGCCATTCCAATTAATTTTATTAGTATATACTTCAGGACTTTTTGAGCTTGTAAGTCCATAATTTGCAAATGGTAAATTTTGCCCAAGGCAAAGCTCTTTCTTTGTTCAAAGCCCTAATTCATGATAATTATGCACCGAAAGGGGAATGAGCCCAGCCGTCGTAGAAATGATTAAGATTCTGTACCTCAGAGGAAACATACCTTTCCTTTGCCTGCTGAAGCCTCTTTTCCCTGACAGGGGAGGGGGTGCGGCTTCTTCTCAATAAAAAAGAATTATTGGGAACATCTGGGATGTCATCCACAGCCACTGAACTAAAAGGTTCAGGACTCTTTGGTTTAACATCTCCTGGACTGGAATTCAAATTAATTGCTGATATTAGTGTCAATATTTCACTAACAGGGAAGGGGGCATAAAAGCAACATTATTATGTAATATGGGACCTAAAATGTAGCCACAGATTCCTTTGCTTATCACTTACTTGGCCAGGTTTGTTCAAAGCTGGGTAAAGATAACCCTGGGTTAGTGCGAGGTATGTGTAAGTACTCTCAGGGAAGCCAGCAACATGGGCAAAAACTGCTTGTCTGCACTGCAATGGCTGCCATCTCTGACCACTGAGAAAGACAGGGGAGAATAGAAATAGCAACTCTTGGACTAGTCATGGGGTAAAAAAAGGTTGTAAGAAGGGAGAGGGGAGAAAAAATAATAATTATATTGTTTTCTCTTCTTTCTCCCCAGCCTGCATAGCAAGAGTTTGCTATTGTTCTATTTTTGGTGCGGCCAAAACCAAAAATCCTATTCCATGTCATTCCTCCATCTTTCTTTGCTCCGAAACCACACAAAAACGCTTGCTACACAGGCTACTTTCTCCCTAACCTCTTTGACTTGCCCTTACTCCTCAACTTCTTTGGAATTCAACATGTTGGTTGCCATGGTTACGCTCTGCACTCGGCACAGTGGGTGTATCAGTCCTTTTTGCTATTCAACTAAATCTATCTACATGTACATGTTGTCATTTGAGCGTAATGAATGAATTATTGAATGCTGTACTTTTTGCGAACAATGTTAATTTTTGAAATTATGTGTATATGCATTCATGTTTTAATTAAGTCATTTATTTTAGTCACAGTATTCAGTTTTCTCATATTTGCATTTTTTGTATGTATTTATTAAATGTTTGTGTATTGATGTATTTTCATTCCATGTACTGTGGTGTAGTTACAGCCACTTACCTGTCTTTTGTCTCTTCCTTTTTCTTCTTTGCTTTCTTCCTGTCCAGATTCACTCATCTTTTTTCCTCTTTTCTTTTTTATGCATTTCTTTTTCTCCTGCTCATCAGTTGATGACTGATCACTGTCTGATTCTGATCCAGAACTGGATGAAAAGTCAGTATCTGAGGAACTGCTGTCAGAATGTCGCTTAGATTTCCTTCTTTTCTTTTCAGCTTTCTTCTCTGCGGCTGAAAGTTAACAAATAACAGTAAGACATCACCCAAGAGCAAAAGTATGATGCCAGGGGTCAGCAGGCAGCACTGCTGCTAGAGCACAGTTCTGTACATAAATTTAGTCAATGGAAACATATCCTGTACCTTTAGCCTTTGCTTTTGGAATAAGTTCACCACAGTTGATAATCTTTACATCCACTAGGGGCCTACTCTTGTCATCAACTCTTTGAATCTCTATCTCTGATACTATTTCCTGACCTTGCAATACTTGGCCAAATATCACATGAATCCTACAAATAAAATAAATATACCACAATATAAGCAAGAGCAACATTGTTGAAGTGTGGGTAATCATTGATCTGTGACTTGCTTTTGAGTGGCAACAAACAAAAATGCATTATGTGTACAAGTCATGTACAATGCCATTACCTAATTTCACATTTTTTTTTATTTCACAAAATTTGTTTCGGGAATTAATATCCTCACAAAACGAAAACACGCAAAAAATTTTAATTTAATACCCATAGAAAATTCAAATCATATAAAAACAATTACGATTTAATAACAACAACTGTTTCTACTGTAGAGCCTAGGTGTATCGACAACAAAATTTAATTATGAACTGGTTTTACTGGTAATTTTTATTCTGTTGTGGAATAATGTTAATATGCATTTTGTTTGTTACATTTATCTTGATATCTTTTAAAAATTCAGATGTTTGAAAAATAACATAGCAAAATTTGATGCCCTTTTTTATATTTGTGTATTGAAATTGAAAAAATGAAACCATGTGAAACACTGTCTTGTCTGTACCAATAACATCATAATGCTAACAGAAATTTCCTTTCTGTCAGTAAGAACAGCTGAATCAAGTTAAAAGAAAACTTACCCATCAAGATGTGGGGCAGGCTGAGTTGTTCTGTGAAAAGCAAAATAAACACACTATAAAAACTTAAAACATTAAAACTTTGTCTTTATTCAAAAGTTTACAATATTGTTATGTATCACAGAGATGCCAGTTGGAAGACCTGAAATCTGGCCCAAGTTGTTCACTCCTTGGATCAGGTTCTATTTAGCAGATAAATTAATATCCAGTGGATAAGTATTAATTAGGGAAAACAACTGGATCAATGACTGGATAGAGATTAATATTATCAAGTTGATACATTGAAGTACATAAACCCCCTTTTAAACTTGAACCTGGGGCCTTGAGAAAAGGAAGGAATTGAGAATTAAAGGAGGGGAAAATTAGACAACAGCAGGAAATTCAAAAAGAACTGAACCATTTTTGCCAGCGTAATTAAGTTAACAATGCCCAGTTGCTCAGAAGGTGGGTAATGCTATTCATCAGGTAAATTACTATCCAGAGGGCAAGGCAATTGGATTTCATGACACTCTTACCACTCCATAGTGATAATTAATAATATTTATACAGTGGATAGCACTACATGCATCCAATCTTTGAGTGATCAGGACCTGACTTATACTACACATCTACATGCATGATGCAGTTGAATTTTATACTTGGTTTCAAATTTATAGGGTGGTTTCTATCTCTTAAAAGATCAAATACTAACATAAAAAACTGAGAACCATTAGTGTTTGGACCTCTGTTAGCCATGGACAACAACATTGCTGTCTCATGCTTAAGATGGAATCCTTCATCTGTTATAGGGAAAACAAAAAAAAATGAAAAATTTAATATGACAAGTAAATCAACCTGCAGTTATCACAATTACATGTTTGTACTTCTCATACGTTTCAGCCCCAGTTAACAAAAAACTTAATTATTTTCATATATTATTTAGATAAGCAGTTAAAAATATACACCCCACTAGATCAGCTTTATAATAGTTATTAATAAAAAATTAAGGGTTTCCTGAAAAAGGGCATAATTTGCTTACTATCAATAAGCAAATTAAGCCCTTTTTACTGTTATAGTTAAATGAAGATCAATAAGAGTGTCATTAAATGCTGAGATCTGTAATGTTATTACATAATCCAATATTGCACAACATTGTTTCATTCTCCACATCACGAACAAGCTGAATTATTAGCTGACAGATTAATATAAACCAATCAAAAGCTGAGAACGTATTGTGCAAAAGATAATAAATTGTAAGACACAGATTTGCATGAGGTGTAAGTTCACTGGAAGATACAGGGCTGTCACTATGAGCTGGGGGCCGGGGATTTTACCTGGGTACTATGAGTGTGAGCCCTGGCTTCTCTTATAGGAAACAAAACGAAAACAGAACCAAAAGAACTAATTCCTAGCTCAGTACAATTCCCCTCCTACTAACTGCATTTACCCAGCAACTTGAAATTTTAGCCACAGCCCTGAGATAAGAGTCATTGCAGAACAGTAGAACCTTGATATAATGAAGTCCTGGATACAATGAACGATTTTCTTTTAACCCCAGTAATAGTAAAATATATGGAAAATAACACCAGTAAAATGTAGTTGTCAAGTTCAGCAAGCTCTAAGATGCATTGTATTCTAGTGTAGAACTTTACGGCCTTCTTGTCTTAAGCAGGCTAGTACGAGCCACAGCATTGGCCAGTATTTTGAAACCACTATTCATGGCTAAGAGTGTGCATGTGTAATGCTGAGCGGTCTTGTAGTACAGCCTTTTCTACCGGCTATGCCAGCAGACATTCGTCTGGCTATAAAAGCCAAGAACAACTGTTCAGAGTTCACTTGGGTTCCATTGTTCAGCAAGGTTTAAGTGCTCAGTATACTAATCGTGTAAAATTTTTCCCTCCCTCCCTCCCTTTGGAGACGATCAAGGTATGGGCTTTGTTTTGTGCTATGCAATCAAATAATCTAGAGACACTCCTTGGAGGTGCAATTAAGTCTGTGCAGTGACTTCCCCCATGCTTGTTGGCTGCATTGCTGTTTAATAATATTGCCTGCAAACCGGTACTCTTGTCCGATCCGGCACATGCTGTATTGCATTCAGCTCGTAGTGCTAGGGAGATAAGTGAGGTTCTTTGGTCACGCCATCGCTGGAAGTCGCACAGGCTAACCTAGCGCAAGGCAGTGCTCCCCCATTTAAGGCCAACTTCTCATTATTTGTTTAATAATTAAATTACTTTGTGTTTAACATGCATTATAAAGGATCAGAGACATTAACATATTTCGCCAGTTCCTTGGCTCTTCATTATATCAGGGTTTCACTGTAGTCAACTCAATTTTATGTTTACAACCAGACCTGACAAATTACTGATAAAATTGCTGTTTGACTATAACACAAAATCAATTCAGATATTAAAGGTTCACTATACTCAATCCTCAGCAATTGCCCTTCTTCAATTTTTACAACTACAAATCTGACTCTAAGTGCACATCCTGTTATTGAGATTAATACTGTGAAGCTACAAACCATTAAATGTGCCACCATAAATTGACTCTCCTCCAGTCCCATTTCCTGTGATAGACAAATTAATAGAAAAATTATAATTTATTTAACAAATTTTAAATGCATGCTCTAATTGATCAAAGGGTTGCAAAGAATGATTTGTACAGCACATGACAAACAGTACCGCTCAAAAGTAAGTTACCAGTCATGTCTCGTTTCCTGTGCAATGAGAATCTTGTCGCACACTACGTGATTATCATCACGCTACTAGAATCGCGTAGTGCAAGAATCATTGAAGCGGCAATTTTTGGCAAAAAATTATTGACACACATCCAGTGAGAAACCAAGGAAAAAGTTTGCTTAGTATTACCTAGAAGACTGATGTAGTACATGTTTTACAGATCAAAAAAATATCTGATACGCACATGAAAAGTAACAAGCACCTTGCATCAGGTGTTAATAGTCAGCAGCTTTTAAAAACTCTGTGAAACACTGCTGTTCTTGTTACAAAACCTCTCCCTCACAACTCTCACACAAAGATCTTATTAATGTAAGTAAAGATACAGAACCTACCGTTTATACATCGAAAAAGGTTTTATAATTTGCAACAATCTGCAACTTCTTTTGCAAAAACTACACTTAGGCACACTTACAAGCCACTTACACATTGTGATGAAAACAATTGTGTCAAAATAACATCAGTCATAACAAATTCCTAGGTAATAATACAGCTATTAAAGGAGATTGTTTTCCAGTATCTTTGCTAATGGCAATAGTTAAGGCTCTAACTCTGAAAAGTCCATTTGAGCCATCTTGATAATTATGTGTGGTTGAGCGGTTAACACCTCAAACTCTGGATCTGGAGGTCTGTGGTTTAAAGTCACCCATTGCATTGTTTCCTTAGACAAGGAACTTTACTTCACTTGGCCTCTCTTCACCCAGGTGTATAAATGGGCACAGGCAATCTACAGCTGGAAGGTAACCCTGCAATTACATATATGTCCAGGGTGGGGGGAGGGGGGTAGCAATACTCCTAGGCATGCTTCATTCCAAGGAAACCAGGAAAATCTTCGGCCATTTGAGCCTTTAGCTTAAGTGTGCATTTTCCTTTACCATCTTGATATAAAAATAAAAATATCTTATACCTTTAGTAAAGTCTCCTCCTTGAATCATAAAATCCTTGATAACTCGATGGAACCCTGATCCTTTATAGTGAAGAGCCTTCCCAGAAGTCCTGCTTAAACCTTTTTCGCCTAAAAAACAGGTTCAAAGTTAATCCCAAAATCTTGTTTAAAGTTTCCATGAAATGTCAAGTTGATCACTCAAAAAATAGCCATTAATTTCCTTAAAAGTTCAGCAATTTCATAGCACTATTGTATTAGTTTATCAGTAGTCTCTCATCATTATGTCAATTCTGGCATTTTTTTAGGCCTCTTATTCAGCATTCCAGTTAATTATTTCAAGAGGGGGGTCATGTAGATCATCTGAGGGGTCACCAAGACCACCTGCTAATTTTTTTCGCCATATTTAACTTAAAACTTGTATGTGATCTGTCGGGTCAGGAAGCCTTCCTTGTCTGGTCATTGACCCAAGACCCATCTCTTACCTGGAACACTGTTATTACTTTTAGTTTTAGAATACACTTGCTAAAGGTTTTAGCAAGGTTTTTTATTCTCCTTGTTACATTTAAGATACTTCACGGTGTTGCGCCTAGCTATCTTAAGGATCTTGTCTCTGTCTTACCGGACTCACGTTACCAACTACGCCGTAACAATAATGGTATATTGTTAGAAAGACCTCAGCTAAGAACGAAGAAGACTATGGGAGATCGCGCGTTATCGATGGCTGCCCCCTTTTTATGGAACAGTCTTCCTCTGCCAATAAGACAGGAAACATCAATCGACTCTTTTAAACGCTCTGTTAAAACATATTTATTTAAAAAGGCTTGTAGTTAGATTATTTATTCATTCAATTTAAATTTTACTAATTACTCTGGAATTGTTGTTAATATTGTAAATATTGTAATTTTACCAGGTAATTTTACTGGTTTTTAATTTAGTTATTAATAATATTGTAATGCGCTTTTGAGTATTTTTATAGAAAAAGCGCAATATAAGTATTAAATATTATTATTATTATTTTAATGTCTGCTTTTCTTTTTTTCTGTGTTATCATTTAAGTGTCCGTGACTCCTTGTCTTAATGCATTGTACATCAGTGGAAGGAAGTGTCCATGAATTTAATATTATGACCCCATCCCACTTACAAGTGAGTACAGCCAACCACACATCAACTCTAAAACACTAACATTTACATGTAATATGTAACTGATGTGGTTACCATGTATGAAAAATGATATTATTGTTATTATCATTATTATCATTACTATTATTATTAATATTAATAAAGTAGTTGGTAGTGGTAGAAGTAGAATATGTATCTACATCAATACGTACTTCCCTACCTGTGCACAATGCTCTAAAGTTGTCAGATGTCTTAGGACAGATGTCAGCAAACAGTTCAAAAATAATCCTGCCAGCTCCAAAGAATGCAAAATTGATTCTTAATTTCAATCAAGCAAGATTTAAAAGTTTTAGATTTGAGGTTCTTTCAAACCTGCCTTCTTTTGTACCCACCTACTTCTCTTTCTATGTTACAAGACTAAACAACTTCCTGAAGTTTTTACACAAAGTAAATGAGATATTTCGTGTAAATTGGACGTGAATTTCTGACTGCCGGGCATCTAGTATTTTGAAAACCATACCCGTGAGTAGATAGATAGATAGATAGATAGATAGATAATCTTTGTTTATCCACGGTACAAAATTCGTCAGCTTGAAAAAAATGCCTAAAACTAATATAATAAAAATATTTAAATAAAAAAGCTGCTTTCCACGAATGCCGTGCCTTACAGTTCTTTGAGTAATCGTTTAAATTGCCCAAGGGACTCTGCTTCCCTTAAGTTACAAGGAAGACTGTTCCAGAGAATGGCACCACTATAGCTGAAGCTGTTTTTGTAATAGTTTGTGCGCGTTAATGGAACATTGAGTTTATTTTCAGAGTCCCTTAGGTCCCTTCTCGCCTTTCAAATTTAGAACTAAGATAGTTTGGAGCCAACCCGTGCAGAGACCTGTAAACCATCGTAGCTCTTTGAAATTGTTGCTGGCAAGCTAGGTTTTTCCACCCTAGAAGTTTGAAAAGGTGACCAGCATCTACGTCATAGCTTGAGTAGGTCAAAACACAGGCTGCTCTGTTTTGTAGCTTTTGAACCTTATTCCGTAAGGTTATCCCACAGTTTCCCCAAACAATGTTGCAATAATCAAAGTGTGGCTGTATTAAAGCTTGATATATTAGTTGTAAGGTCGCCTGAGGGACAAGGTGCCTTATTCGTTTTATGGCCCCAATACCAGAAGCGACTTTCTTTGTTACTTTCTCGATATGGCCACTCCAATCAAGTCTGTCATCGATGGTCACTCCTAGTGATTTTGCAGTAGTGACCTGGCTAACTTCAAAATTATTAATTGCAAATGTCGGGGACTCTGTGAGAGTACTAACCCCCCCTAGATCCGATAAGCATAAATTCGGTTTTAGTCTTATTTAGAGTAAGTTTGTTTGCTCTCAGCCAATTGTGAACATTTTCTAAATCTTGATTTAGATGCAACTGAATATTGTCTGCATTATCACCTGCGTGCGTAAGGTGGGTGTCATCAGTGTACATCCTCGGCTCACAATTTGAAAGACAGTTTGGAAGGTCGTTGATGTATAACAGAAATAATAATGGACCTAAAATCGTCCCCTGGGGAACACCACAACTTAATAAACAGCTTTGAGAGAGCGATCCGTTGATGGAGCACATTTGAGTACGATTCTCTAAATACGACTTAAACCATTGGTGCGCGTTACCATATATGCCGTAATTGCTTAATTTTGATAAAAGGATCTCATGGTCAACTGTGTTGAAGGCCTTTTTGAGATCTAAGAAAACAACGGCGTTGATTTTACCGCGGTCAATATTGTACGCCCAAGTGTCCGTGGCCTCAAGGAGAGCCGTGACAGTTGAGTGAATAGCGCGAAAGCCTGATTGATATTTACAGATTATATTGTGCTCTTCTAGGTAGGCATATAATTGATCATAGACGATTCTTTCAAAGACCTTGGCCATAACTGAGATCACCGAAATTGGACGATAATTGTTTAAGTCGTCCCGATCGCCTTGTTTAAAAAGTGGGGTGACCTTTGCGCATTTCCAGTCATCCGGAAATATGCCTTGACTTATTGACTGGTTAAAAATATCACGGATAGGAATGCAAATGAGATCTGCACATTCCCGAATGAGCCTAGCAGATATCTTGTCAGGGCCAGCTGCCTTTGACCTATCTAGACGATTCAAAAGTGAGAACTTTATTTGTACTGGTTGGATGGAGCTGAAGTCAAGATTCTAAAGAATATGCTTACAATGCAAGCGCGGAGAATTTGTCGACAACAAGACGAAACCTTTATTTAGAATCGCTTGGCATTTCTGAACAAGCACTAAATACTCTGGTGAGGTTTCGTTGATAATTTCTGTGGATATTCATCGGGAGTTGACTTAGTGTGTCAGAACTTGAATATTCTCTAAGTGTCGGAAAACATTCCGATTTTACTCTATGCCCACGCTCGACAGTCGCTTCTACTTTTAACCCAAGGCAATATTTATAATCGCTTGAGATTTCTCAACAAATACCTTATGTTGTTAGAAGAATTAAACGAGCTATTTCGAGAAAATTGCTCAAAATTTCTGAATGCCGAAACAGTTTGCGGCTGTAGGTTATCTAGACACGAGCTTGATTATTTCCAATAATTATTATGGAGTTATGGCCCAAATGACTTGACTTTGAAACACAACAGCCCATGGAAACATTTTATCCGAGGAATTTAACGTTTCTTACCTGGAGATCCATTTATTTGAACATCAAAGAAGCATCTCGGCCGATAGCCCTTCGCTTTGGGGACAGCCATCTTGAAAACTTTCAACCTCCTTCATGTATGCTTACACGAAGAAAATTATTACCCGATTGGAAACATGGGATTTTCTATTTGTGACAGGGTCTGCTGAGCAGTTGATGTGCAGATGCACAAACAAAATGGTGGATCTGCGGTCACGAGAAGTTTACAAATGTTGCATTTATTAGACCCTGGATAAACTACACCGATTACATTTGCTACTCGTTTCATTCACTCTCAGAGAATAACATGGCTCACGTTACAGTTGATTGGAATCCACTTGGAAAGGTATTTTATAGGTAAGTGGTTCTTTTCAGATCAGACTGTACCTATTATTGTTTTATTATTCATTCAAAATATTTCCTCCAAGCTGAAGACATCCTTACCTCTATGTAAAATTCCAGTAGTCAAACATCTGCCTGTTTTTTGCCAGTTCCAGATTATGAGGGGATATAATTTTCTTGCTGATATTCTTCAAATGGTAGTTTTCAGTGTCTTTGTGTGTTATTTCATTTTGTGTTAGTTTTTGAGGGAGAAGGTCAGGAAATTTAATGAGTTAAATATAGTTACTTAACTTAGTTAACGATGAGGAGCTCCAGTAGCTGCTTAGTAGTTATCTTGGCTTTAGCGTGGCAATGGCGTGGCATTGACGTTTGTTTTATATTGGTGTGCTTTGGCGAGCTGGCAGTTATCCTATGCTCTTTTGTTTTTGCCGTGGTTCATGTTACTGTACTAGGCCTGTTGTGGGATAATTTCCAGTGCCCCCTGTGTCAGTGGTTTTCCATCGCAATTTATGCGTCTGCGTTTGCAATGATGTGCTTGTAGTTTTAAAGTGCATAATGTTCGGGGCGTTTTGCCCAGTGTTACTCAGTTTTAGTGGTTTTTCCCTCCCTCCTCACCCCTTATTATTATTGTCCTTATTTCTCCACTGAAATCTCAGTTCAGTGTGATGGGTGCTTGGGCCGGGGCTGGATGTGGCTGGCAGGGCTCGTGGCTGGGTTGCAGGTAGGGCAGGCTTTTGGGGTGTTCTTGCTACCTGGGTTAGGGGTTGGTGGCTCCAGCCCGTAGGTTCCTAGGCACCCAACCTCCATGTGCGACTCAGGCATTAATCTACCCATAACATGTGAAATCTTCTACCATTTACTCTTGGTCTTCAGCAATAAAACAGCCAAACCATCACTCTGCTTCTTTGTTTGATTTCTGTGCATCCTTTTCCAGTTTGGAGGTGTGTCTGACAGAACGGTTAACACCTTGAACTCCAGATCTGGAGGGACAGGGTTCAATCCTCGTGTTTCGAATGGTTTCCTTAGACAAGGAACTTTACACCGCTTTGTCTCTCTTCACCCAGGTGTATAAATGGACACCGACAAAGTACTGCCAGGTGGTGACCCTGCGATGGACTAGCATCCCATCTAGCGGGAACGGGGAATGGCAAGACTCCTATAGTCATGCTTCATGCTAAGGAAGCTGGCATAAGCTCCACCCTCTTGGGGCCTTTGGCTTTAATCTTTTTTTTTTTTTTTCCTTCTGAGACTTTACATTGACATCACCCTTAATTTTTTTTCAATTTTTCAATCCAGTCTGAGACTTTTTGGGACTATTGACATCAGCCTTTAAATCTGGCTTTGCTGAAAGTCAAACATCACCTTTCAAAAATTTTGGCAAATAACCAGCAGGCTCAGGAAAGAAATACCGGGCAACCATGGAATTTAAGCCAATCAATCAGGGATGGAGAAATATTTTAAATGTACACACTGTAGGCATAATTGAATTACAGCAGAAGTTTTCTTCGCAAAATGTGTTTGTCTTGAACAGGAAAGTAGAGCTGTACAGTATGGAGTGGCAAGATGCTGTGGATTTATCCCGGTTTATTGTGAGTGCAGCACCTTTTGGTGGTCCAATAGGTAAGTACATCAGACTTCTTCTAAGTGTTGTTTAACCAACAGGGTGGTCACGTTTCATTTCCCTGCATTATCTTAAGGTAAATAGGACTCACCAGGGTAAACGTTTAAGAGCCAGAACCACAGAAATGCTCCTAACAGCACTGTAAGTACCGGCATTAATTTGTAAGTTATGTCTATATCAGCAAGAGTTCATTATACTGTACCAGAATTTTGTTTCAGTCAACTGTCTGTACATGTCAAGGGATTTTAAAGGAAGAAAACAACTCTAAAGAACATCTTGCTTCTAATTATTTTAGAACAGCTAGTGCATAAAACATACAATTGATACAATATTAAAAAACTTCATTACTTTCAACCTGCAGTCCAGCTGTGTTGTATTTAGATGCTTAACTGTCAGTAATAGTTAAAAAAAAAGTAATTGAAGGGCTCCATGTTAAATTGCCTAATGCCCCTGTGGTGTATTTTTGGGATGATTGGGATTTAAGCACCGCGGTAGGTTTAATCACTAATGCACACCATTGGTAACTCATGTACTCTTCTACATACATGGGGGGTCATGTAGCAGCTGCTCAGAAGAGAAGTCACCAATGGTGCCTAACCCGACCGCAAACAATACTGAAACAATTGAAAGAATGAAATCATTGTTTTCTGCAACCAATAAGAAGAGACCTTACGAGCAGCTCCTACACAACTGTACATGGGGGTGAGGACGGTACACCTAAATATTTACATGTCCTGCAGCCCCCACATTGAGATTTCCTTTTTGAAGGAATAGTTTGTAATTGTTGTATTTAAAATTTGCAGCTCTGATAAGAGGTGACAAGCATTTTGTTCGAGTCCAAGGATCAGCTATTAATAAACCCATCATTCACATTTTTTTCCTGCTGGAAAAGAACTTGCCACAGTCAAGGTATGTGTCTTTTTTTTTTAGGTCTACTGAGGAGAGGTTTAACCTGGGAACACAGACAAAGGCCAGTGTCGCAGGCCGAGCAGGCTTCTTGTTGTTTAATGTTGACAAATTAATATTGTCAATATTGTTCTTGGCTAGAAGAGTAACTGTCATCATTTTCTGTTATTGCATTGGAAAAGAGCAGGAACTTGTATTATCATATGGTTGGTTCTGTGAGCAGGAAAGATGAAGTAATATTCTGACTAGTTACTGAAGCAGGCAGAATGGATCTATCTTAGTCCATCACTAGTCTGCTTCACAGCCGTTTTTTAGTGTTGTCACACAATGCTCCTACCCACCTC